TGGACCTGGCTTTGCTGGATCACCAGGTAAGGCAGAGCATCTCAGCTACTGCCTGATAGAACTGAGTTTGGACCAGTGACTACTGAACAGACACAGCCAAAATGCTGGGGGCTAATACATCTCATCTCCTTCTGCAGAGCTGATTAGGTTACAGCAGTTCAACTTTCTCCTGACAACTGACCAGGGCACCTTACTCAGGGAGTCTTCAGGAGTGGGTTAAAACAGAACTGCCATAGCTATGTCAGACATTCCCTACTCATCCACCCCAGGAGTCCTGCCAGTGGCTGTGACTTCCCTTTAATCTCATTTTCCTTTGTCATGTATACACTGTCATCTGAGAATGGCTTGGACATAGCTGCCTCCAAATCACCTTGGCAGCAATCCTGAATTGGCCTGAGGGATGGCTGCAGAGAGACATAAAGTCCTCTATCCTCACCTCATTCTTGGGGGCATGCTGACTCTGCAGTGTTCCCTGGAGGAAGGAGCCAAGTTGCTAGGCTGCTGAGCACAGTGCTATACTTTAGACCTACAGACTGGCAAGCTAGCCAGAAATTTGAAATCAGTGCAGTGATCCTTCAGGCTGAGAGGCAGCACCATCCTGGAAACCCATGAAACAGGCAGCAGTGTTTTCTACAGGAATACATAACTGGGGCTTGCACACTGCATGCTTTGATCACATGATCCACTTGTGAATGGGTCATGAAGCATAGCCACTGTACTCCTGCTATTACTCTTTGGGGGCACTTCATCCTAGACATCTATAACCTAATGAAGGGTCCAGATGGTTCTGGATGAGATGGTTCTATATTAACAAGATCTGAATGAGTTCCAGCAGAGATGGTCTGTAGAGAAAAGAGTTGATGAGAATGGGTTTTGATTAACATAGGTGGGAAAAAACAAAACCTGGGGAGGGAGGTGTAGGAAGACATACCTGATCTTTGGCTGGGGCACTCTGTTGCAATGCATACTATTGGAAAAGGCAATAAAGAGTAGAATGTGGGTCAAACCCACTTGACTTTCATCCTCTGTTGTGGCAGAAACAAGATAGCACTCTAGCCGATCAGTGCAAGCATCACAACAAAAGACCAATGGAAAAGCAAGTTCACCACCAGTGCTGCTGCGGCCACATGCTTTTGTAAGGATTAAGACTTTGGAGAGGTAGTTGGCTGGAAGGTGGCAGGAGGAACAAAGTAAGATTTCATTACCATGTGTCAGGTCACTGGAGTTGTCTTCTGGGAAGACCTCATCAGAGCCACTGAATTCTGGAACAGGACTGCCACTGGATAGCAGATGGGCATCGCTACATCTCCCTGCACTAGTAGGCCTCTGCAAGGTCCAGAGTTGGGAAGCTGGTGTGAAGTGAGCTGTAGCAGGTCTTGGATCAGAGCCCGGCCTTCTTGTTGTTTCCCCTAGGTAAGAATCTAGGAGACATTTTAATAATGTAGGAGTGGCAATGCAATGTTTAAAATACACCATTTTTCATTAGCACAAAAGCAATGGCAACTCACTTGGTGCTACAGGGAATCGAGCCTGCTGGTCCTGCCGTGAGAAACTGAACTGTAATTATTGCATGCCCAATATGCTTGCTGGCACACAACCTTTTCCATATCATTGCATTGCAACACTCCCCAGCTGCCTTCTGGCACAAACACATCTACACCTTTCCATGTAGTTTCCAAGTTATTTGGAAATAAAGCAAAGGGGCAGCAAAAACAGAATAGTCTGGCAGTATTTTCATGCGGTCCTAATTGTTCCTAACAGCCAGTTTCATCAAAAAGCACAACCTGAGCAACCTGCTTATTCCTGAAAGGAATCAGAGATACAAGGCCTCTTTAAAGTTATTTTTAAATAGGCCAAGACATTGAGTATGTGCAACAATCACTCTGGTCTCAGAATTGTTGGGATGCATGGTTTTAGGGCAAGGACTTTAGAGCAAACACCATATTTAGTGGTATAGTCTGGGTTTCTAGGTACAAACTGGAGCAGGAGTGCTCAACCTCTGGCCCCATAGAGCCATTACATCTGTCCCTTGGGGCTCTCCAGAAGTCCAGAAATTTACCAGCTGGGGAGAAATGGCAATTAACAGAGCCATCCAGCCCTCTGTCTAATTCCTAAACTGCAAGCCCTGTGTGGCTGGTTGGAGCCAGGACATATTCCTTCCACCTGCATCTGGATTGGGACTGAGCCATACCCCTTTCCCCCCCTGCCATGGGGCCAGGTTAAGCATCCTTTCCCCTGCAGGGCCGCATTAGAGCCAGGCTTTCCCCTGCCCCCCTGCACGCAAATGGCTGGTGCCTGTTGTCCCTGCCTCAGGCACCACATCAGGACTACCAGCCAATTCAGTTCGTGGATGGACTGGGCACTGCCTGTATGGCTCGCCGAGAAAATAGGTTGAGGATCACCAAACTAGAGTAGAGGGTAGTACATGAACTGAATCTCCCAAAGGGTAACCCCAAGAGGCTGTGCAACTCCCACCCCCCTCTCAACTACAATCCCTTCCCTGCTACCAACCTCCCCAAGAAGTTAGTAATATGCTCCTGCCCTATGCTGTTACTACTGCTTCCACACTTAGGCTGGCTCAGCTATACTGCCCTTCAGAGAGAGCTACATATGTATAGCTATGGCTCTATTTCCTCAGCCATGGGCTCTAGGGAGGAGTAAGAAATGAGTGCCTCACTTCACACATGGTCCAGGTAACCCACAAGAGGCTATATGTGGCATTGTCCTGCCTGTGGACAGAGTGTGAGTTCTAGTCTGATGGGATTAAATTGTTTAAGCACGCCGAGGGTACAGGCAGACATAACATTTCACCCTCTAGTTGGAAACCGGTTCACATTTGTCCCTGGACAGACATGTCCCTAGGTACGATGCTAAGGGTTCTAAGTAGAACTGTCACCTTCTAGGCATTACATTGCTGCCAGGACACCACCAAGGAGCAGTAGGTAGACTCTCCAGACCATCAAGCCTCCCAGTGCCTGGAGTTTCCCCAGGATTCTAGTGGAGGTAAAGGAAGATCAGGATTCACTGGTTACCAAGAAAGAAGAAGCCTTCATGGCCCTCAATTGCAATTCCTACTCCCCCTTCTCAAAAAAAGACTCCATGAGTTTCATAAAGAACATAATTACACTTCACAAAATCAAGACCCCTCCAGAGCACCCAGCCCCCTGGGAGCCACAAGCAGGGGGCCACACAGCCCCCGCCCCCCCAAGCATATGACAACCTCTCCACTCCCACTCCTCTTCCTAAATGAGCCGGGGACCCCTCTCCTCAGTGTGTGTAGCAGGAAGGCAAGCTGACATGGATGCTTTGCTTCCCTACTCACGTAGACTGTGCTTTGTTGTTTGCAGAATAAAGTCCTAGCTGTACCCCAGAGCAGCCTCATTGCCCTGCATTTGTTGGGGTGAGAAGAGGAATTCCTGAAGGACTAACCAGACACTAGGCACAGAATGCTCTGTGTGCCCATGTAACATTGACCTAGCTCGTGGGGGACTGGCTCAAAATAGTACTTGATTTTCCCGGTGTACTTTCAAAACATTCCAGGACATCTAAACCAGTCTTAAGTGGCCTGTACATCCAAACTCTTGGGGCTTAAAGTTTCTTTAGCACATTCTAGGCATTACATCTATCCATACCCTGAGATGCTAATGGACACCTTTCCATTATTCATTTCAGTGATAGATTTCTTAACCACAGAACACAAGGTATATTAAATGCACTATTCTAAGTTTCTATAATGTTAGCACCCTGGCTGGGTCTCATAAAAGCCAATGAACACAAAGTTAAAGCTGAATCTTTACATGTCCCATTATGCTTTTTGAAATGCTGCAGGGTCTCAAAAATGGTGCATGATCTTAGGTATAGTATGTGCTGCAGATGCTCTACAGTGCAGCCTACGAATGGCCCTGAGTGTAAATCAATTGCTTTTTACAGGTTTAAGAGACAGATCACAGCAGTCACTGGGGCAATGAAAGCCAGCAAGAATGAGTGACTTAGAAAATATACAAACCCCACTTGTTCCTCTCCCTCTTGGAAACAAGCAACCAGCACTAATGTAGTGTTAAAATGCAAGAACAAGTATTCAAGTGCTTGGGAAACCCCAAAGTCAAAGCTGCCTAACTGTGCCACCTCAGTCATCTCAGTCACACAAAGGTAGCATCTTCTGTTCCTCTTTCCTTCATTAAACATAAGCTTTAGTATACCACCCATTGGTGCTTGGCATCTATGGTCCTACATAAATGTCCTGCTGAGCACTCGCCAACACTTGTAATAATTCAGGCATTTATTTAGGAGCTATATGTTAGGTACCAAATCCTATTCCTAGGCCCTGGTCTTTGTTAGTAATGCAAAACTGAAAAGGATACAGCAGGAGCAAAGTAGCTAAGTTAGCACTGCTAGAGAGAAGAGAAAATGTTTGGAATTTCCTAATCTAAGCATTTGATCTCACCAATTCACGGTTAAAGGTCATATTCAAGTGTGGATGTAATAACATATGAATGCACTAATTTGTGTTTAGTTCTATTTTGTTTCTGCTACCCTCATCTACTAACTATTCTGTAATTCAGAGCAGCAACTTGCATAGCCAAAGAAGAGTCACTGAGGATCAGGTTTAAAAAAGATCTTATTCCTATCATACCTATTATTTCCAACCAATGATTTGGACCTACTGGGGTTAAAATAAATTACAAATCTATGTACTTATTCCAAAATAAACTAAATTTTTTATGGCATACAGTTGGCAAGCATACCATGGAGGTCAGGAAACCAATCTTGTTGCCCATATTAATGGGAAGCAATAGAAGCTGTGATAGGAAATACTTTGTAATATCTAACTCCACATGGTAAAGTGTATATAGTACACTACATAAAAGCATGACCATTTGATCTGTAACAAAGGTACAAGCAAGGGAGCAATGGATTTGTTTTCAAGCTAATGTACTCAGCACTAATGAATTTAATGGATGTAAGAGGAGAGAGAGGGAGAGAGAAAGAGAGAGAAACCGGAATAGGCAGGTTTGAAGAGCACAGGTTCTCAGTCCATAGCGAGTCATAAACAACAGTGGGATGTGACCATCCTGTCCTTCCCATTGTGCTAAATGGAAACGGAGACACAGCTACATCCTGGCTACATGGGAGTGGGTCCTGATCTGGAGAGAGTTGAGGACCGCTATTGTAGAGGGTTTAGCAAGGAATTTCCCAGATTTTCTTTAATGTTTTTCTTTTTAGTTGACTCTTCTGTGTACTCCATTGTTTCTGTCTACTATATGCATTTCTGAGCTGTCACTTTGCTTACTCAGTTCAAAATATGCCCTCGGAATAAATATTAAATCAGACAATTTCAGTCTTGTTAGACTCAAGGCACCCCTCAGAAAATCTCAGCTCTTAGCTTTCATTCATTTCTGGATGTCAGAAAAATAATGGAGCAATTCTTCTTTCAGGTCAGAATGTTTTTGACACTATGGATTCCTATTTGA